ARRRRGWGRKMGMRMKARMRAKRKASTTGAACAATWGWAAACTACACAGCGTCACCACCTCTTCGACGAGCAATATAAGTGTGTGTGTGTGTGCGTGTAAAAGAGAGAGAGAGAGAGAGAGAGAGAGAGAGAGAGAGAGAGAGAGAGAGACGTCAAAGAGGTGGTCGCACTAACAATGTACTTGAACAATTATAAACTACACAGCGTCACCACCTCTTTGACGAACAATATGAGTGTGTGTGTGTGTGCATGTAAAAGAGAGAGAGAGAGAGAGAGAGAGAGAGAGAGAGAGAGAGAGAGAGAGAGAGAGAGAGAGAGTCGTCAAAGGGGTGGTCGCACTAACAATTCACTTGAATAACGGTGAGCTACGTAGTGCGACCACCTCTTCGACGAGCATTATGCATTTGTGTGAGAGTGTGTTATGGAGAGAGAGAGAGAGAAACGTAAAAGAGGTGGTCGCACTAAGAATGCACTTGAATTATGCGTTTGTGTGAGAGTGTGCTATGGAGAGAGAGAGAGAGAAACGTAAAAGAGATGGTCGCACTAAGAATGCGTTTGTGTGAGAGTGTGTTATGGAGAGAGAGAGAAAAACGTAAAAGAGGTGGTCGCACTAAGAATGTGTTTGTGTGAGAGTGAGAGTGGTCCCAACCGCCTTCTCCAGCTCCGTGACCCTCAACCGCGCCTCCAGAGGGTCAACGCCGAACGGGGCAATCGATGTCACCTCCCCCGAGTCTTTCCACAGAACGTGCACCACGCCTTCGACAAGCGCGACCTCCATGCTCTTCGCCCTACTGCCCGTCAACATTGAGAGAACCTTGTTCTTCCAGTCGGCGGACAACTTCTTGTTTTGGGCGAGTTTTTCTGTCGCCTTGGTCGTTTTGTCGTCCTCGCACCCCATGTATGGCGGGCAGCCCTTGAACAGCGAGGCGTCACCGACGAGCTTCCTGCTCCCCTCCCACAACGAGGCATCCATTCCCTGCTTTTCGAACTCCGCCAAAATAGACTCCCGCTTCTTTAGGAAGGGATACGCACGTGTCCAGTCAGCGGCCGACCGGTTCTCGTGCACAAACTGATAGTAGTTCCACAATCGCACCAAGATGCGATCGCACTTGAGCAGGTGCACTGCTTCCTTGCCTTGCTTCGCCAACGATGCGGAGCCTGTTTGCACCCACACAACCTCGCAGTTGAGGACCTTCTTGAGCAACCAACATTTCTCGTTGTCGGTAAGGGCTTCCATGCTCTTCCAGCAGTGCGGATCCGGCTCGGTGACCTGGACAAACCAATCGCCAGACTCTTTCTCCTTCTTTCCTTTCTTTTGGGGCGCGTCGACGGGGACGTTGTAGACAACCTCCTTTCGCCCCAACTTGTCGTTTTCAATGTGGCTAACGCCGGGCCTGACGCCCTGCACTTTCCGTTTCCTTGTGATCCACCTTGCCCCCTCGGGTGCGAGAAGTCTCCCCGTCTCCCATTTCTCGAAAAATTCCATACCCAGCTCCCACGCGCTTTTACCAGCCATCACCAGCGGAAAATAAGAGCGAAGGGCAGCGTTCTGCTTCTTAATACTGTCCTCACCCTTCTCATCACCGAGAAGCCATAAGTGGTTGTAAGGCGTTTTGTGAAGCGCCTGCGAACAGAACTCACGCCATGTCTTCAGCTGAGCTTGTTTTCTGCTGGGGCTCCCCATAACAGCCTTTGGGAAACCCTTCTCTCTCCACAACCACCGAATGTTCTTCATTGATAGTTTTAGCTGTCTAGGAGGCGCCTTCAAGTCCTTCATGTTGTCCTCCGAGCTGACCAAAAAATACCCATTGAACTCCTCGTCCGAGAAGTAAACCGTACGTGCAGGCCACCTGCCGAAGTTGTACCTCAATGCGATGTCCGTGCCCAGCAGCGCCTTGGCTGCAGCCGCGTTATGCTGGCCCGAAACGGCGTAATAATAGTATTGGTCTGCGAGCTCGTCCTTCCAATCCTCTGGCTTCAGACGATCAGCCCGCACGCCCGACTTCGGTTTCTCCAGCCCTAGCGGCGCCAGCTTGAGGGTAGGCAACTCGTACGTCTTCTCGGTTTGCGAGAACGCCGTCATCATCGCGTCAATGATGATCTGCGTGTGCACAGGATCCAACGACCGTTGGTTGTACGACGGTTCCCAGTCATCGATGTCGACGACCTGCGATGGGCTAATGAAGAACTCGCGCTTTGTCCGCACACCGTCTTTCCATTCTAGGAAGTACGGGGCGTCGACGTCGATGGGACCCTTCGCCTCGAGAGCACCTGGCTGAGGCTGTTTCTGCACCGACGCCGGGCGTTTTCGACCCGATGTGCCCTCCTGCCCCTCAACTCCCTTCCTTTTCCCCCCTGTCGTCTGGGGGGTCCTTGCCTTGTGTTTCTTTGCAGAACCCGTACCCTCTTCCTGAGGCCCTCCCCTCCTCTTATGTGCAGGCTGCTGCACACCCTCCTCTTCCCCCCAGGCCGACGTCGACGGCCGGGGTGTATCCTTCTACCCCAGGAATGCTAAGGACAGACCGGTCTCCCCGCCTGAGCGAGGAAGGCCGCGTCTGCTCCTGTTCTTCGTCGTCGTTGTCGTCGAAGCGACCACGGGCCTCGCCCCGACCGAGTTGCGAAGAAGGACCGTAACCCAAATCTCCCCCTTCCGTGGGAGCGCCGCTGGATTCGAACCCGGTGCACATCTGGAGAGGCAGCGACAACTCTCGGTCGCCTTGAACATTGCAGGGATCCTCCTGGTCGACGTTCCTCTGCTCCACCAAGTCAAAAAACTCTCGTGCCGAAACAACACCTCCTACTGCAAGGTCTTGGTAGAAAGGGGTGTTCATAGCCCCCGCCCCAAACCCCTGGAACAAATCAAAAGACAAAACCGCTCCTTTGGAATTGACAACAACGTCGCCCTTCGAACTATAAATGGTGTGCAACTTCTAATGTTGCGTGTTATTCTTTTTAGCAGGGTGCCATCCGGCCACCGCCCCAAGAACCCTACGCCGTTTTGTCTTCGAGGAATATAACAGGACCGCACGGAGGTTTGGTAGGCTGGGACTCATCTCCGCAACACCAATCGACGAAGCATTTGGTATGCGCATGATAGGACCACGATTTGGAGGTCCGCGATTCCCTCCCTGAGGTCCTGGTCGGCTGCTCCTCGCCCCTTGACGTCGACATTGTGTCTGCATCGGTCCAAGATACAAAAACAACCGAACACACGGATAACATAAATTACCCACCCCAGTACAGAGGTCCGTTTTCCACAGACCCACATGCCGTAGCACATGAACGGTATCGACATCCAAATCAACTTAGAAAAAAGGCATCTGCACGAAGTTCGGATCTCGGCGAACTAAACAAATTTGCAAGCAATTGGCGGGGTCAGATAACGGCAAGCGATGATAAATGTAGTCACTGATTGTGAGGCGGTATGTTGACTGCTGGACTTTGCTGTTCACAAGCGCCGATCTAACAAGAACGCACACCGAAGATGTGCCAATAGCGCACGAACGTGACAGTCGACTACATGAACACACGGCAAGTTCGCCGGCATCCGCACTTCGTCACGTCGTGCTCAGGCTTGTGCGAAATCCGGAATCGAGCGAAGTAGAGAAAATCGTCGGCAGTTTTTCACACCTTGTCCGCGCACACCTAGTCTGCCGGTATCCGCACTTGTTCAGGCCCGTTTTCAGCCTTCATGGGAAGTTCGGATGCCGGCGAACTTGATGAATTCGTCGGGCAGCATCATGGACAGACAACGCCGTGAGATCGTCATGCTCCGCCTCTCTGAACCCCGGTCCCCATCACAAAGCCCCCAACACTTGCCCCAGTTGCGTTTCAACATCGCGAACGACTGCCCGAACAACTGTTAACCTATGGGAACTGGAGGGGAATTCTGTTTGTGGAGTGCGAAACTCTGCTCGAAACAGATCCAGATCCAACAAGAGGGCCCTAAGAGTGCTTTTGGCAATGCTCAAAGACAATGACCGACTGTTTGGCACAACTCGAAGGTGGTCGGGCGACAACACCATCGGGATCGAAGCACAGAAAGAGCGTCCTGGCCAGTGGCCACCGCACAGGCAGAGCCTCCGGAACCCCGATTCGCATTGGTGAGCACGCGAATTTCGTCGGGATCTGAACTAAAAGAGGGTGCGTGATAGAGGGAGTCGGAGAGATAGAGGGACAGGATCCGTATGTTTATGGTTTACAAAATCCACGGGGAAGAAGCAAGAGCACAGTTGGCTGCTTCGTACGGGCGAAACGATAAGCCGGACGCGGGCGAAGCAGGGTGGTTTATGCGTTCCACCACGCGCCAGGATGCACAAGGAGAGACCAACGCATAGCCGGAAACGCGAAGTTCGCCGGGATCCGAACTTGAGGAGGGTGCGATAAAGAGAGACGGTGAAAGAGACGCACGATACGAAATCATGTGGTTGTTAAATCCAACGACGATCCAGGAAGCCCCCACTCACATGAGAGGCCAATTAAAAATGAGAAGTTCAACCCCATCCGAACTTCTTCTGCTGTCGGATTTGGTGATGTGCGTAGCTTGGCGCCAGATGCAGCCAAGCTCGAACGCACGAGCCGGGCCAGCATGTTCTGTGACCCTGTTCGCGCAAAATGAGATGTCCCGGTTTGGGCGGACTAGGACTGTTCTTGCAATCCACGAGGGTCGGAAGAGCACTGTTTGTTCAATAAACAGGCGAAAACGCCAAGTTCGCCGGGATCCGAACTCAAGGTCGCACTTGTGAGGTTATCGCAACCCGCGATGCAGCACGAATCCATGCACACGTATAAGGTCAGACGCAAATGCGGGTCCGATGAAAGGGCAGGTGGAAAACTCGAAGTTCGTCAGGATCCGAACTTGAGGTGGGTGCGAGCGAGAGAAATAGAGAGAGAGACAGGTTTTGTGCTTGCGTGTTTGGTGAAATCCACTGCGCCTTTTGTTTAACGTCACGTTAAACACCCCACGTTAAAAACCCGTCTGCGCGTGCGGGTGAAAATGTCATCAAATATTTGCATGGACAAGAAACATAACATCCGTTCTTAACATTAACTTTTGTCATCGCAGCTTGACCTTTCTTTGTCGTTAACGTCACGTTAAACACCCCACGGAGAGTTTCGACAAATCGCACAATGCAGAGAAAACGTCGAACCGCACATTGCGGAACAGACAACGGTGTTTTCATTGTGAAAAAACATTCTGTCATGCGTCGCATGCTACGAACACACTCGGTATAGCGTCTACTGGCAAGTACAGCCTCCCACAACTATCTGAACTACTTCATATCTGCCATTTCCTGCTGCGCACATGCCTCTCACACCTCTCGCTCCTTTTCCTTCAAACACAAGGTCTGACAACCCGTCCGGATCTAGTGACGTACGGGGTTTCCCGCGGACGACGTCGTGAACCGAAGCCGTACATAGCATTCATTGATGATCCGTACACGTGGATCTGCGGTCCCTCGACTGTTGCATTCTCCGACAACACGGACATGTATTTCATCCTGACAAACCCTCCTGGTTGTGCTAAGGATTTCCCTATACAGTGTCTTATGTCGGACACTTTCTCTTCCATCTCATGCCACAATGAAAAATCGTCGACCTGGCCTGCTATTATCAAATCTGACCACCCATCTGCACTGTGGAGCCGCAATGGGGAGAACCTGTACGTCGGCCTTCCCCCTTCTGCCACGATTGCCACCTCGTTCCGTGAAACATACACAATTGCATCGACGAGTTTCCTGCTTTTGTTCGAAGTAGAGACACATAGCACTCTGGCGAAATCACATCCGGCAATAGTCAACTGCACACCGCAGTATGACACAACTTGTGGACAAATCCCGGGGCGGCGGAGCGGGTACTGCTCCAAGAACGAACAATGACGAGCGCAGTCCAGCAACTCTTGTTTCCGAGAACTTCCCCAAGTTCGTGGCGAAGACGTGATGTACTCGCAATCGAGGCGACTGCAATGGCGGCTGATGCAGTGTACTGTTTTGCGCACATGGTTCAGGAATTTGCGCTCAAGAACACCGTCAGGTAGTGTGATGAGGTCACCGAATTCTAACATATTGGCAAACTTGTAATGGCTTGCCCAAGGGCAGCCACTCTCCATCGCTTTCCAAGTGGCATCACTCCAATCGTCAAGATGTCGGTCCGTGTACGGGACGACGGTCATCCATGGGTCCTCTTCGAAGTCCTTTGCAGTTGCTCCGTCGATGCAAGTATGACCGTTATAACGCCGCACTGATCTCGCACAAGGAGGGAACGGTTCTGCTAAGCGCATGTGGGTCTCGGGACTCATGGTCATGCTTGTCGACGGTACCGACAACATTATGCACCCTACACATCACGCACACACACGAAATGACACGCACTCGTAAACAAATTTGGCAAGCGATCCAACGGGGAGGCCCGTCTTAGCTGAACTATCCATAACTCGTGAACACCCAGCAAATGATGACAGAAAAATGCGCAGTCTTTGCAGTCTAATTGAACGGAGTCAGTGAAAAAACAACTCGTTGGACGTTCGACTGCAAATCGGGTCCAATCACGGGGCACAAAGAAGTCCACTGTCAGATCGATGGGCATGTGGAAACGCAAAAGTTCGTCGGGATCCAACTTGTGGACGGTGCGAGACAGGGAAAGGTTTTGTGCTTGCGTGTTTGGTGAAATCCGCTGTGCCGCAGGAAAACCACAGTGTCGTTGGTGAGTAGACGATATTGAGTAGTCCGCTGCCGTCCGGACTTGTTCTGTTGTCCGGTTTTGCAAGGTATCAAGTTCGGTGCCGGTTGCAGCAATGTTCGACGACCGGAATCGAAGAACCATTCGGAATGTCGCACCAGGGGAAAACACGAATCGCGGATCCGGGCGATCTTGTGTTTTTGTTGCACTCCACGGGGCGACAAAAAACCACAGTCGGAACTAAGAACACGCCAAAATATGAAGTTCGCCGGCATCCGAAATTAAGGAGTCTGCCAGGATCCGTTCTTGCATGGTTTGTGAAATCGAGGAGGCACCAGGTCTGCCACAGCCACAAACGAGGTCCAACGAGAAGGTGAAGTCCGCCATCAACCCCAATTTGCGTGTCGTCCGGTCTCGCCACATGCGACGTTTGGTCTCGGACGCCACAAACGTTCAAAGAGCTCATTCGAGCATGGAAGTTGGGTGATTTCGCTTCGGAACAACGTGAAGTGCACAGACTTCGTTGTTGTTCAAATCCACAGGGCACCAGGCGAGGCACAGACATATCGTGCGGAATGTGGGAACTTGAAGTTCGTCGGGATCCAGACTTCCCAAGAGTGCGCGCGAGAGAGAGAGAGAGACGACTTTCTGCCGAACTCGCAGGCCCACACTCTCCTGAAGTTCGGATTCCGGCGGACTACGCCCTTTCAAATATCCTCTGGTGTGCCTGTGGTTTGGGGTTGCCCTGCGTATTCGTACAACAACAGAAGTTCGTCGGAATCCGAACTTCTTCCGCTGTGGGAACCTTAAGTTCGCCGGGATCCGGACTTCCCGAGAGTGCGTGAGAGAGAGAGACGACTGTTTGCCGAACTCGCAGGCCCACACTCTCCTGAAGTTCGGATTCCGGCGGACTACACCTTTTCAAATATCCTCTGGTGTGCCTGTGGTTTGGGGTTGCCCCGCATATTCGCACAACAACATAAGTTCGCCGGAATCCGAACTTCCTCCGCTGTCCGATTTCGCGATATGATAAGTACGGAGGGCTGTACATCCAACAGCAGCACCGAAACCACAGCCATGTGAAGGGATATGTCAAAATGCGAAGTCCGCCAGGATCCGGACTTCAACAGAATGTGGGACTGGGAGATTGGCTGAGAGTTCGAGAGAGAGGCGGACAAAGAGATGGAAAGAGATTGAGAGACATCGACAGAGACAGACGGGAACGGAAAGAACCAGGCGGTCTAATGTTGGCATGAGGGAACGGATTCGCTCTAGAGTTAGCTCTCCAGGTTCGTTGAAACCCGAGGTTCAATGCGGCCCGATGGCCAATGTCGGTTGTCGGGTCACAACGAACCTTGTATATCAGCAGACCTGGCAGCGTAGAAGTTCGCCAACATCCGTGTTTTTCTCTCTGTCTCTCTCCCGGATACACCGGTGATCCCGGTGCATCTTGAGAGCTATGGGAACATGTCTTGGACGTCGCTTTGTGAAGATCCGTGTTTTCCTCGGTGTCTCTCTCTCCGGCACCCACACGATCGCGGTGAACCGGGTGAAGAGGTTTGTGAAGATCCGGATCGTTGGGTAGAGGAATGATTGCGTCGGATCAGTCGTGCATGTAATGCCCGACGCAAGGATTGGTCGACATGAGCATTTTGTTCTTTGCTTGCTTGATTCTGATCATTCTACTTGCCAGGCCACAGGATCGATTGAACGGTTGTTTGCAACTACGAATGGCGTGTGGTCTTAAAGAGTCGAAATCTAACAAACACACACATACGTGTGTTTGTAAGATTCCGACTCTTTAAAACCGCACGGCATTCGAAGTAGCAAAAAATCGTTCAATCCATTCAGTGGTCTGGCGAGTGCAATGATCATAATCAAACAAGCAAAGAACAAAATGCTTGTGTCGGAGAGAGAGACAATTCGTTAATCGAATCTTCACAATCCACTAGGCATGACATGCGAGGCTGATTCGACGCAATCACTCGTCTACCCACACATCCGGATCTTCACAAACATCTTCACCGGGATCGTGGGGGTGTCGGAGAGAGAGACAATTCGTTAATCGAAGATTCACTTGCGCCATTCATGTACTGCAAGTCTTTTTTATGAACCGTGTCGACTAATCGAAGATTCACTTGCATACCTTGCTTTAGGCATCGCACATGCGCTTTCCATGGAAGGGTGGCTCGTCCAATGAACCGATTTAGTCATTCGTTTCTTGAGTGGTTGATTTCATCATTGAGTCCCTGGTGAGGATGGGACTCGTTGGAGGAACGGCCTGGGTTCCAAACTTTCTCCGCACATCTACATATGACGGTGCACGTGAAAGCAATACAAACATACATAGCGCGCACAGCAGGGCAATACACGAAGCAATGAAGGAGACAGAGAAACACATGAAGCAAACAAAACGCATGCGAACAACGCTCGTCGCCACAAACATACATGGCGCGCACAGCGGGGCACGAGTGAACGCAGAGGCTCGCTCGAACGTGCACAATCACACGTACGCACACACATGGGATCACTCTCGCACATGGCATCACTCTGGCAAATCCGCGTGGAAAAGGAACGTCCCATTCCATCAGTCACCCTTTTGACAGGTACTCACCGCGATGAAGATGTTATGTAGAGAATGGATCCTTCGCACCTAACCTAAAACTGCAGAGATCGCAGTGAAAGCGTCGCGACTTCGTGGTGTGGCGGCGGATGGTTTGCGTTGAGCGAGCGGCGCGCATGGGAAACAAGCCCGTCGACAAGTCACTGATTGGCACGAAAGACAACGCGAGGTGGGGGGTGCTTAGCTATGCAAGTCCGCGTGGTATTTCCAGCTCCGTTCAGACAACAGAGGATGCGGCGTAGCGCTGAGGATCGTGATGGCTTCACTCGCCGTGCGTGTTGCATGTGGTCGCCTGCGGTAATCGAGCTCTGCGCACGTTGGACGATGTGGCACAGCGCTGGAGATTGAGATGACGTCAATCACTGCGGTTCACGGGTGACAGTGTTGACGAGAGAGGGAGCTCGAGTGGTTACTCCGACTGCATCTCCCCATGACATGCGATGGTGCAAAATGAACATTTGGGGGGCGAGTTTCGTTTTATGGACTCGCACGCCTTCGACACGCGAAGGGCTTTCCGCGCGGAACGGAAGGCCTCTTTCGAAATCCAAATTCCGGGCCCGGGTGGGGGGCGGAAATTTAGAGCCATTGGGCCGAAGGGAAAAAGCGCGGGAGTCCGCGAGCCGTCCGATTAGCCCGATCGACGCCCACGGTCCGTCGGCGCAAAAGGCCTGCATGCGACACGGCACGGTTGAGGGTCGTTGCTGACAATCGCTCACGGGCCTTTACGGAGGCTGTCGGGCGACTAGGGGGTGGCAGGGGGGGAGGGGGGCTTTGCGCTGAAGGGCAGGAGGACCGTTCTCACAAACGCCAAACGAAATGAGTGGCAAGCCCTGGCTTGGCAGTCCGATTTGAGCATCGCACGGCCGTTTCTCGCCAGCAAAAAGGGCCTGTGGGGTGAACGTGAGACCTGTCAGCGGGGTGGGAGGCTACCGGGAGGATGAACGTCACACTGCAGAGCCGCGCTAAGGATTCCACGAAAGTGGCCCTCCCAGTTCAGCCTCTCCTTCCCCGGAATCCATCGTGTTCGACGACAGCTCCGCTGCGCTGCACCATCGTCGTCGTGCGCCCCAAGTTGCGCCCTCATCGTCTTTCGGCCCTTGCTGCGCCATCGTCGTCATTCGCCCCAAGCTGTGCTGCGCCGTCGTCGTCCTCCTCGATCGACCTCCCAGGTGCGCCGTCGACTGGAGACCGTCCCGCTTTGCGCGTCGTCGTCCGATGGTCGCGTGCGTCGTAATGAGACTTTTCGCGCGTCATGACATTATCGAAATGCTGCGGGTCGTCGCCAGTCTGCATGTCGTGTTTCCCTGCCCATCCACTCCTTTCTCCATTTTCTTGTCGGCCCCACCGTTTGTTCTTCAATAATGTCCCTGTCTGTCGCTCGCAGTCTAGCTCCTTGTTTGTGGTGTGGAGAGCTGATCGCGCACGCGACCGTGGGTGACGTGGAGGTGTGCCACATCGAGTGAGACAGATCGCCTGCCACGGAAAGATAAAAAAATCCACTGCTGCGTGACACGCGCCGCCAGTCTGAGACAACGCACACTTCTTCCTCGAGGAAGAAGTTGTTGTCGACCAGTCCCGTGCTGTCGACGGGAGGCTAGTGCTGCATGTTATCGAGCAGTCCCATGGTGGCATGATCGGGCGAGCATGAGCGCAGAACGTGCCAACGCCCTGCGCTGCTGTGTTGCGACGCCGATGGAGAACGAGGTTGCCGTCGATTGCAGGTCACCACCAAGCGGAAAGCGGTGGAGTGGTTGCACACTGTGGTCGATGCAACTGGGTTCTCGCCCTCATCTGCCACGTGGGCCGCAGGGCGCTGTTCGAGGCTGGACAAGAACATCGTGCCGCGTCACTGACATAGCAGCGCTACTATGTTGGTGACGCGGAACGATATTCTTGTCCAGCCTCGAACAACGCCATGCAGCCCACGTGGCAGATGAGGGCGAGAACCTAGTACTACATCGACCACAGTGTGCAACTAGGCCACCGTTTTCTGCCTGATGGCGACCTGCAGCCGACGGCAACCTCGTTCTCCATCGACATCGCAACACGACAATAAACGTGGTAATCGTTGCTCAAGAACAGTCGTGATCGGGTGATCATGACCGTTCGT